TTTGTTTATTTTTTAGAGAGAAAGGAAGGGAGGGAGAGAAACATCGATGTGAGAAAGAAACATCAGTCTACGGGCATACCACCCTGAACGCGCCCGATCTCGTCTGATCTCGGAAGCTAAGCAGGGTCGGGCCTGGTTAGTACTTGGATGTGAGAAAGAAACATCATCGGTTGCCTGTCATAGGTGACCCAACCAAACCTCAACCCAGGTATGTGCCCTGACTGGGAACTGAACTGGTGACCTTTTGCTTTGCGAGACGATGCCCAACTAACTGAGCCACACTGGTCAGGGCCAAAACAGATGGGCTCTTATCCAAAGAAAATGATCTGCTTAGGGTAAACTAAGCTTCCTCTCTACTTTTCTGAGATGTTGAGGCTCTCAACCTGTCCAATCACTATCCTGTCTTAAACACTTTCACTGCACAAAGCATGCGGAATTCTGTCTTGTTCGTTTAAGGAGAAACCTTTGATAGAAAAAGACTACAATGCAACAGCAGAGAAAACTTACATTAGCCACCTGGGATAATCAACATGCGTTTTCATTCTTAAAGAGGAATAGAAAACTAAGGTTCATTGTATATATAAAAAACGGTGGCAAAAAACATAGGGATCAAGATAAGCAAAACTTAACGGATTTCAGGGGAAAAATGTATGTATGTGTGTATAATACAAGGAAGAACAACCTTTTAGCTCTGGAGGGCGTGGCTCAAATGGCTGGGCATTGTAGCGGGGGAAAGTGGTTCCATTCCGGGTCAGGGCACATGCTTAGGTTGCGGTTTGGTCCTCAGTGGGGTGCTTGTGGGAGGCAACCAATTGATGTTTCTCTCCCGCTCTCTCTTCCTCCCTTCCCCTCTCTTTTAAAAAAATAAAAAAAAGGATAACCTTTTAATAAATATTTAGCAAGGTTTATGAAACCAGTAACCCATAAAACAAGGATAGAATGCAATGAAGAAAGAATGTTCAGGAATACAAATGAAGATCCTAGATATGGGGGTGGGGGCAAGATTGGTAAAGTAAAAAAAAAAAAGAAAAGAAAAGAAAAAAGAAACTAATAATAAAAGGACTGGTAGAAAAAGTGAAAAAAGAAAATCTCTCAGAATGTTAAACAAACAAACAAACAAAAGACAAAGGGATGACAAGTAGCCTCTAAGACCCAGCATTTATGTTCCAGAGAAAAGAGAGGAACCGGAGGAAAAAATTGTTTAAAAAAAAATTACAAAACACTTTCAAGATCTGAAGAAAGTCACAAGTCTGCCAAACCTGATAAGTTAAGCAAGATCCATGCCAGACAGATCACCATCAAGTTTCAGAACATCAGGTAAAAAGAGATCCTTAAAAGATTCAGAGAGAAAGGGGGATAAACAGATGACCAATAAGGGAATGAGAATCCAATTGTCCTAAGAACTATCATCAATACATTAAGTTCCAGAAGACATTGAAATAATTTCTTCAAGACTCTGAGAATTCTGGATTTAAATGTGAACTATCATCAATAACATTAAGTTCCAGAAGACATTGAAATAATTTCTTCAAGACTCTGAGAATTCTGGATTTAAATGTAGAATTCTATACCAGGCTAAACTAATGTGAAGGAAAAAGAAAGATATTTCCAGGCAAAGACCTCAAAAATTTACTACCTCCATGAACTATTTCTGAGGAAGTTACTTGAGGATAAATGTCTACAAAATAGAAAGAATAAAAAAGAAAGGAAGACATGGTATCCACGAAGGAATTACCAACTCCTGGATTACCTCGTGCAATGAGTTCATGTTGGAGCAGAGAGTGGAAGCCTGGGGAAGAGATAACTCATGGGAAAAAAGGAGATTGCGATATTAGTTTGTAGAGGAGTAAATACAATCCTAGCACACTATTTGTATTTGGCTCTGTAGTGAGCAATATGTACACAATAATGTAATCATATTTGCTATTTTCAGACTCTGAAACCAAGCGATTGTCAAGACAGACAATTATGGTTACAGAATAGAAGGAAAAATAAACCTAACAGTTTACAACATCATTGTTCATGATAGCAAAAATAAAGGGGAAACAACAAAAATGTGTATCAACTGAGATGGAGAAACAAAATGTGGTATATTCACACACTGGGATATGATTTGACAATAAAAAGGGAAGGAATACTGATACACACCAGAACATGGATGAAATTCAAAAACATGCTAAGTGAAAGAAGGTAGTACCGAAAGACCGCATATTGTATGGTTTCATTTATATGATGTATCTAGAACAGACAAATCTATAAAGATGGAAAGCAGATTAGTGGTTTTGTAAGGCCGGGGGCGTTATGGGGAAATGGGGAATGACTGGTAGTAGGTATGGGTTTCTCTGCGGGTAATAAAAGTATTCTGAAGTTATATTATGATAATGGTTGCATAACTGTAAATATACTAAAAACTTTTGGATTGTGCAATTTAAATGCGTGAACTTTATTGTATGTAAATTGTACCTTAATCAAGTTTTGTTGTTGTTGTTGTTGCTGTTTTTGTAAAGCTAACAAAAGTAGGGAGGGTGAAAGAAGAACAGAGAGGTGAAGAAAAGAATTGGGTAATACCCTTATCTCACTTGTCAGGGGGTTAAAAGATAATGTTGAAAACTGGTAAAATAAAAAATGGAGGTTTAAAGGAACAATTTAGCCCTGGTTGCTGTGGCTCAGTAGTTTACCCTCGCATATGCCCTGACCAGGGACCAAACTTTCAACCTAGGCATGTGCTCTGACCAGGAATCACTTTGCGGGGATGATATGCAACCAACTGAGGCACACCGGTCAGGGATATAGTGCTTTAATTAAAGCAAAAAGGAAACAAAAAAATAGACTATGATTACAAAATTAGTATGTAAAGAAAAATATTTACATGGATTGAAAATATGCTATCTTGTATGAAAATACATATTTTCAATCCCCAACTGAATAATTACAGGCCAAATTAAAATTTCTCTCATGGGACCAATTTCAAAATACGTCATTCTTCCATAAAGCCTTTAACACTGCCACCTCGTGGCATTAACAGGAAACTTTATGTAGAGATTTTATTTATATAATCCACATGGTCACAAAATTAAATTTTTAAAAAATATCATGTGATAAAAAGTGTCTCTCCAATCATATACTTCAGAAACCCAGTTCCTCTCCATTGAGAATCCACTGTTAATAGTTTCTTGTGTATATTCTTCCAAAAAAAATACAAGGTCTGGCAGAAGTAACGCCTGCTTGAGTGTGGTTGGTAGGGTAATAATATGGGTGTAATAATTTATAGTTTTAATTTGAACATTTCACATAAAATGTCATATGGTATGCTTGAGTATGATATTGTTATATTAAATAATTACACAATTATGATTTTGTAATAAAAGAGGGGTGTTATTTGTGCCAGATCCTGTATTTTAAGCATAACTCAAGCAAATGTGTATATGCATGTATAACACAAATAATAGAACACTATACAGAGTTATATATTTTGTTTTTTTAGTATTTTAATGTTTTGGGGATTTTTCCCTATCAATACACAAGAGTCTTCCTTAATAATATTAGTAGGTATAAAATATTCCATTATATGAATGTTGATTTATTAACCAGCCCCTTATTTGTAGTTAATTCTAATCTTTTGATTTTTCAAATGATGCTGTGAAGAATAAATTTGTATATATGCCATTTCTCACATTTTGGGAAGGATGCTTGTATTTATTATTTTGAGAGATTTTATCAAATTCCTCTCCACTGAATTTGTACTCCAAAGAGCAAGAGATATGAGCATATTGTTTTCCTACACCAAAGACATTGTGTTATCCTGGCTCTTCTGATCTTTAACAATCTAGACAACAAATGGTTTCTTGCAGTTTTAATTTTAATTTATTATAGAGCAGGCTGAGTGTATTTTCATGTTTAGGAGCCTGTATTAGTTTGCTGCAACAAAGTAGCACAAAGTGGGTGGCTTAAACAACAGAACTTTACTGTCACAGCTCTGGAGGCTGGAAGTCTGAGAGGAAGCTGTCAGCAGGGTTGGTTCCCTCCCAGGGCTACAAAAGTCTGTTCCACGCCTCTCCCCTAGCCTCTGGTGGGTTGCTGGTAATCCTTGGCATTCCTTGGCTTGGAGAAGATTCTCTCTCTTCATATTCATACAGTGTTCTCCCTGTGTGTATGTCTGTGTCCGTATTTTCTTTTTTTATAAGGACACTAGTGATATTGGGTTAGAATCCACTCTAATGACTTTATTTCAATTTGATTACCTCTTTAAAGACCCTATCTTCAACTTAGGTCCCATTCTGAGGTATTAAGCATTAAGACTTCAACATACGACTTTCAGGAGGACATAATTCAAGTCATAGCAGAGCCATTTATATTTTCTTAACCCATCCATATATTTTATCCATTTTCCCATCAAGTCCTTAAAAACTGATTTGTAGGAATTTTTCATTTGTTAGGAAAATCGGTCCTTTCTCTAGGATGATTAGAAATATTTTTCTGTTCTTTTTCTTTTAAAGGTTTCTTTTTTATGTTTTCCTGCACAGATAATTTTTACTTTTATGTAAACAAATTACTTGATTTCTTTTTTAGTGTTTCCTAGTTTTTGTATTGTACCTGGAAAGTTCTTCCTCACTTTGCAGTTATAATTCTCCCATGGTTTTCCACTACTACTTTTATAGTATTAGTGGAGTTTTCTTTGTTTTTTCACTTTTACTCATTTGGATTTTTCCTGTTATGAGATGTAAAGTATGAAGCCATCTTTCTTTCTGGATGGCTACTCAGTTTTCCATTACGATTTATTGAATAATTCATCTTTCCCTAGTTATTTGAGATACCACTTTTAAAATAGACTGTGTTTCTAATTTATTTACTTCTGGATTTTCAAAAAATTTAACTACAGTGAACTGTTACTGAGCCTACTCTCATTGTTTTAATTAAGAATTTATATTTAAAAAACAGCAGTTAGCACTCTTTTTCAGAATTTTCATAAATATTTCTGTTTATGTATTTTCTTTTAAAAGGTCAACTTGGGGCAAGCCTTCGTGGAGGCTTCCCTCATGCATCTCAGCCACCAACATACATGTTCTTTGGGGACATGTGAGCCACGGCTAAGGCTGCATGGGCAAGCACAGAAGCACCCAGGAGGCCGAGGTAGTGCTGGTGGCTTGCATCATCACAGGATCAGCTTCGGCAAATATCACCCACGTTACCTTGGGAAAGTTGGTATGAGGCACTACCACTTAAAAAGGAGCCAGAGCTTCTGCCCCACTGTCAACCTTGATCAACTGTGGGTGTTGGTCAGTGAGCAGACATGGGTAAATGATGCCAAAACCAAGGCTGAGGCTGCACCCATCATTGATGTGGTGCGATCAGGCTACTACAAAGTACTGGGGAAGGGAAGGTTCCCAAAGCAGCCTGTCGTTGTGAAGGACACATTCTTCAGCAGAAGAGCTGAGGAGAAGTTGAAGGGCGTTTGTGGGGCCTGCATGCTGGTAGCTTGAAGCCACACAGAGGGAAGTTCATTAAATGCTCTCAAGTGTTTTTGTCTTCTGGTGTGAGTGTAGGTTCTTTGGCACCTCTACCTGTGTCAGAAACCTGCCTAACAGGTTCTAGGAGTTGAGGGTATGAGGACCTGGGCTCCTCTGCTAACTCACCTGAGAAAGAAGGTGTGCAAGATAGTACCAACACTTAGAGGCCTTGGTCTGTTACCCGACTTCAACTTTTCATTTACAAAGTGACAATGATAGCAAAATAAATAAATAAACAGTCAACTTGGGAAACTGAAATTTATGGTCTGAAGAAATGTGTATGATTTTTAATTTAAATCCCCGTTAGGGTTCAACAGTAGCATGCTTTTTTTTTTTTTTTTAATTGAGGTGTATTTTATATACAGTAAATTTCACTCTTTTTGGTGGACAGCTCTATGAATTTTGTCACAGTCCTAAGTAAGTAGCCACCACTTCAGTCAAGGTTTGCAGCGCTTCTCCATCACTGTTGTGTGCTTTCATAGTCAGTCTCTCCCCTCCCTAGTTCTGGGCAACCATTGGTCAATGTTTTATCCTTATATTTTTAAAAAAAAATTTATTATAATAGACATTTATTTAAAGTATTATATTTGCAGCCCTGATGGTTCTAAATTGTACATTTCAGGTTGAAGCAAGACATTAAAGTACTGAGAACAGATACATTCTCAGATTTTGATTATACGATTGTTTCTTTGCCCATTCTTGTCTTTTTATTTTTTCCCAAATAACCTCTTTCAGATATGGTAAAGGTGGAATTTATCTTCCTCATTTTGTCCACTTCTCTTTATTTATTTTCAGAGAGAGGGGAAGGGAGGGAGCAAGAGAGGGAAAGAAACATCAATGTGCAAGAGAAACATCAGTGAATATCAGTCAGTTGCCTCTTGCATGCCCCCAACTGGGCAGCTGGCCTGCAACCCAGGCAAGTGCTCTGCCAGAGAATTGAACCTGCAACCTTTCAGTTCTCAGGCCAGCACTCAATCCACTGAGCCACACCAGCCAGGGCTATCTACTGCTCTTTAGACAAGATCTGCTGCCTCACGGACACGTCCAGTGCTCTCTTAATGTGAATATCCTATACAGGTTCTCAGGAAGCCTTCTTATGGCTTCTTTTACATCGTCATCCACATGTATTGTTTGGTCTCCCATTAACCCCAGTTGATTGAATGCAGCAGCCCCGTAGTACTATTTTTGAATACCTTCCTGACACTAGCTTGATACTGCAACAGCAGGCCTGCTTGCCATTTTGATCTGAGACTCTATCCTTATAGTTTTGTCTATTTTTGACTGTCGCATAATTGGAATCAGAGGATATAAAGCATTTATTTGATTCTGGCTTTCACTAAGCCAAGTGCTTTTGAATTGCACTCATATTGGTGTGTGTATTAGCTTCTTTTATTGATCACAAATAACCCATTTATATGGATGTACCAGTTTATTCTGTCCACCAGTTGAAGGAACTTGGGGTTGTTTCCAATATTTGGGAATTAGGAATAACGCAGCTGTAAACATTCACGTATAGGTTTTTCTGTGAATGAAGTTTGGATTTGGAGCTGAAAGATGATCAATAGTGGATATACCCTTAAATATTTTTTAGGCCATTCCCTCTTCTCTATTTCTACTATGCACTGTCCTATTCAGGACTTCCTCTTTATTCAGTTTATTTAAAAAAAAAAAAACATTTACTTTTTTTAGAGAGAGGGGGAAGGGAGAAAGAGGGAAAGAAACATCAACATATGAGAAAAACATCAATCAGTTGCCTCGTTTGCCTCTCATATGGCCCTAACTGGGGACCTGGCCTGCAGCCCAGGCATGTGCCCTGACTGGGAATTGAACTGGCGAGCTTTCAGTTCACAGGCAGGCACTCAATCCACTGGGCCACACCAGCTAGACAGGACTTTTTTTTCTGAAGCTCAATTGCTCTAAGACCTATTTAATTTTTTAGAGACAGGGGAAGGGAAAGAGAAAGAGAAGGAGAGAAACATCAATCTGTGGCTCCTCTCATGTGCTCCCCACCAGGGACCCAGCCCACAATCTAGTCATGTGCCCTGACTGGGAATCGAACCGGCAACTCTTTGGTTCGCAGGGTGGCACTCAATCCACTGAGCCACAACAGCCAGGGCTCTAGAAGTTTTCTAATTAGTCTTCCTGACTCTATTCTTGTCTCCCTGAAATTCATCTTCAACAAAGTTGACAGAGTGATTTATTTTAAAATTTAAATTTGACAATGGCACTTTCATACGTAAAATCCCAGTCTCTCCTCCTAAATATTATGTAATACTTGTTTTGGTCCCATCTCTCCACTCTCTAATTATATTTAAATGACCCTCTCCCCCACAACACTCTCACATCCCTAACATTGTTCATAGAGAAAAGCTCTTGCCCCAACTTTGTTTGACTAACTCCTGAGTCTGTCAGGAGACCCTACTTCCTCTAAAAAGCCTTCCCTGACAACTCCTCTCCCCAAAGTCTGGATTAAGAACTCATTCTCTTTGCTCCTATAAATCCATTTATTCATTCATCTAAAGAATATCTGTGCTCTGTTCCAGGCAATGTGCCATATGATTCCTGCTATAGCTGAGTGATATATGAATCTTGTAAACTTCAATGTGCTTTTAAAGCAGTGATTTTAACTGATGTGCTGCAAGAATTTTTATATCATGCAATAACTGACTATTTAGCCAGGGGCACTGACCTCTTTCCCCTTAGATTGTCAAATTAAAAAAATGACAACAGTCAACACAGTTGTTCCATGTGAGTGAATAAAAAATATACTTTTTTATGGGTCAGATTGGCGAAAAATGTAATTTTTTTTGGTGTGCCATGAGCTGGTAATCAAAACACTGGTTGAGTATGGCCGCAAAATGGAGGAAAAAGTGAAGGCTATGCAAAGTGAAGTAAAGAAAAATTTACAGGGAACCAACAGGAAAGGGAAGGAAATTAGGACTCAAATAAACAATTAGGAGCAGAAGGAAGAGATAAAACATTCAACGAGAACAGAATGAAGAAACAAGAATTCAAGAAAATGAGGAGAGGCTTAGAACTTCTGAGATGACTTTAAACGTTCCAACGTCCAAATTGTAAGGGTGCCAGAAGAAGAGGAAGAGTGAGAAATTGAAAACTCAATTGGAAAAATAATGGAGAACTTCCCCAATCTGGCCAGAGAAATAGACTTCCAGGAGATTCAGGAAGCTCAGAGAGTCCCAAAGAAGTTGGACCCAAGGAGGCACACACCAAAGCACATCATATACATTACCCAAAATTAAAGATAAGGAGAGAATCTTAAAAGCAGCAAGAGAAAAGGAGACAGTTACCTACAAAGGAGTTCCCATAAGACTATCAGCTGATTTCTCAAAAGAAACCTTGCAGGCAAGAAGGGGCTGGAAAGAAGTATTTGAAGTCATCGAAGACAAAGACCTATACCCAAGATTACTCTATCCAGCAAAGCTATCATTTAGAATGGAAGGGCAGATAAAGTGCTTCCCAGAGAACGTCAAGTTAAAGGAGTTCATAATCACCAAGCCCATATGAAATGTTAAAGGGACTTATCTAAGAAAAAGACGAAGATCAAAAACTAGGAACAGGAAAATGACAACAAACTCACAACTATCAACAACTGAACCTAAAAAACAAAAAACAAACAAACAAAAAAACAAAAGCAAACTAGGCCAACAACTAGAACAGAATCATAGAAATGGAGATCAGAGAGGAAGGGGAGAGGGAGCAATGGGGGAAAAAGTACAAGGAATAAGAAGCATAAATAGTAGGTACAAAATAGGGGGAGGTTAATAGTATAGGAAATTGAGAAACTAGAGAACTTACATATGTACAACCCATGGACATGAACTAAGCGGGGGAATGCTGGTGGGGTAGGGGTGCAGGGTGGAGGGGAATAAAGGGGGAAAGGGGAAAAAAAAGAATGGGTGGACACTATGGTGATTATCGGGATTGTTTAAACTGGGACTAGATAAAACTGGAGAGTTCCTGTGCTTGCTCCTAATTATTTCTAGTACTAAAATTTTATATAATTGCCATTTAGGCAAAAAGCTTATGTAATTAGGTAAATTAGTAGACATTGACTGCAACATCAATGACCAAAAGAAGCATTCTAATAATTTTATATTATAGATAGACTGAATAAAACAGCAATCACTTACCTTCATGGTGTGGAAACATCCTTCCCCAAAACACCTATTATGATGATGCAGTTATTTCAATAAATGGCATGTTTCAAAAATCAACTACATCTATAGTATTAGGTTACCTCTACCTAACAGTATATAAAGCTGATATTTGAAACACACATCAGGACTCATTTCAATATCTCATGAGCATCAGAATATCAAAAGTGAGAAAGAGGAAATAAAGAAATGAGCATTCATCTAACAGGGGATGAAGTGTCTTCCCTTCCTAAAGAAAACATTCTAAACCATGGGGCAAATCAAAAACGTCTAAATTGAAGGAAGCCTTTTTAGAAATAGAGTAAGTTCATCTGAGCAACTGCATCATTATTATTGCAAACCTTTACTAAGTGCCCACAGACCTCATGGCACATTCTTGGGGATTCACAAGAGCTTTGCTTACATGCTAACCTTGTCCTTATGGAGCTTACGATCTCATGAAGAGATGGGGTAATGTACATGTGATAGAGCAATTACTGAACAGACTCCACAGACTGAAAAAATACCATAAATGTAAAACGCATACTGCAAAATGAGAGTTAATGTGGATGGCAAGGGTAGTAGACAGTAGTGGATATATCCAGCTTCCTGAAGTAGACAAATACCTGGAATATTCAAGGGACAGGGTAGAGCCTAGAAAATCAGGATGCAAACAAGACTTTCTACCTACTGCTTCCATCTTTCCTTATTCCCTGCAGCTGTAGAAAGTTTGCAGCACGAGGAATATGGGGATAGGGGTTAAAAGGGAAACAAACTTTTCGGTACTCTTTAGCACTTCTGACCACCACAGACTGGAAC